TTAACTGCTGTGGCTCAAGGTTATGGAATTCTGGGGTATTGTTGTTTGTAGTATGATGGTACACCTTGCAAAACTACAAACCCCAGGATTCTATAGGATGGAGCTGCAGCACTTAAAGTGGTGTCAGAACTGCATTGTTTCTGCAGTGCAGATGCACCTCTAAAGGTTGCATCCTCACTGAAGAAATAACCTGGTTTGATACCACTCTCGCTCTGCTCTGGTGCCCCAACAAACTACAAACCCCAGAATTTCCTAGCATTGAGCCAAGGCAGTTAAAAGTGGTGTCACAGCAGATTATTTCTGCAGTGTGGATGAAGCAAAGCAGCTTCATTTATATACCTCTTCATATCGCGCTATGGGATGTCTTAAGCGGTTTACAACTGTAAGCTCATTGCCCCCCAACAGCTGGGTACTCATTTTAGCGACCTTTGAAGGATGCAGGCCTGAGTCTAGCCTGAGCCCTGGCTAGTATTGAACTCACAACCTTGTGGTTTATGAGTAAGTGGCTGCAGTACAGGCATTTAACCACTGCGCCACCAGGGCTGATGAAGGCTTGATGTCCTAACTGCAAAGCAAGACAAGCCACCTCCAAATGTAGGGCATTCTAGGGAAAATGTAGGACATGACTAAATAAAAGATGATGATTATTATTCATTTATATCTCACCTTTCTCCCACTACAAGGACTCAAGGCAGCTAAGAATAGAAATATAATTTTGTTTCATATGGTCTATTTACAGCTATATTACATATAATGTTGTTGTGTGCCTTCAAGTCATTTCCATCTTATGGTGACCCTATCCTGGAGTTTTCTTGGCAAGATTTATTCAGGGAGGGTTTGCCATTGGCTTCCTATGAGGCTGAGAGTATGTGACTTGCCCAAGGTCACCCAGTGGGTTTCATGACTGATCAGGGAATCAAACCCTGGTCTCCAGAGTTGTAGTCCAACACTCAGTCCACTACACCATGCTGGCTCTTTCTTTTACTTTATTATTATGTATTATTTATTTATTGTATTTTCTTATATTGTTCTTCCTTATGTATTCAATTATATTTTTCTGATGAATGTATCTTTGTTAAAATGCCTTGCTGGTTAGCAATATACTTGTAGAACTCTGAGCAAAACAACTGCTTAAAATTATACTTTACTAGCAAGGAACCCTTGACTGAATCTACATTTAAATCATTCCTTTCATTTGTCCATTGTGCTGAAATTAAGGGGGGGGGGGAACGCTTTCATTTGCATTGTATCTTCAAGCAACCCATTGCCTAACACATTTGCTGTCCACTTGTCCTCTGCCCTGAGCTATGGGTGCGAGTCTCGTCTGCTGCTGTCTCTGGGAAAAATAACTTAAGAAGGATTCATCCTATCCCCCTATTTGCAACAAAGACAGGCAACCAAATAAATGAGTTTCTTGAAAGGGAACAGCAAATGCAGTGCTAATCAACCTGCTTCTTAGTGGTGCTCAAAATGGAGGACATTTTGGCATTCTTCTGGACAGTGGTTTGAAATGTAGGATATGTCCTGGAAAAGGAGGGTGTCTGGTCACCCTGCATGCATCTGTCAAATGTATTCTTCACATCTCTGCACATGTTGTGATTCTACACGTGCTGTTGGACTGCAGCTCCTATCAGTCCTGGCCAGCAAGGCCAAGGATGAGGGATACTGGGAGTTGGAGTCCAGTGACATCTGGCAGGCTGCATGTTCCTTTGTTGTTGCTGTTGTGTGCGTTTAAGTTGTTTCTGACTTGTGGTGACTCTAAGGGGTTTTCTTGGCAAGATTTGTTCAGAAGAGGTGTATCATTTCCTTTCTCTGGTGCTGAAAGAGTGTGACTCACCCAAGGTCACCCAATAAGTTTCCATGGCTGAGTGGGGATTTGAACCCGGTCCTTCAGAGTAGTAGTCCAATGCTCAAACCCCTACACCACATTCCTTGTTGTTGGTTGTGTGCCTTCAAGTCATTTCTGACTTAGGGCGACCCTAAGGCGAACCTATCATGGGGTTTTCGTGACAAGTGTGTTCAGAGGAGGTTTGCCATTGCCATCCTTGGAGGCTGAGAGTGTGTGACTTGCCCAAGGTCATCCAATGGGTTTCCATGGCTGAGTGGGGATTTGAACCCTGGTCTCCAGAGTCATAGTCCAATGGTCAAACCACCACACTTTACCACGGTCTTACATTTTTGGTGACTTTGTAATAGAGTTTATTTGTTGGAGGGAGTGTGATGTTGCCAAATTCCAACCCACACAATTTGGCCTTGGCATTAACGGAGCAGGATAGATTGCTACAGCTGTAAATTCCTGTTGCTCTGGCCTTCCTAATTTTGTTGGTGATTTATTTTAAAAATTAGCTTTATGCTGAAGTAAGCTTCTGGAGTTGACAGAGGAGAAGGAAAGCAACAGCATATCAGAGGTAATGGAATAGAAACTAGTGATGGCAACCTCTGTTATGCTATAGTATCAGGTATAGAGAACCTTTAATATTCCAGACATTTTGAGTTGTAAGTCCCATAGTTCTTTTCCATCAGCCATCTTGGATGGGAGATGTCAGCCAAAACATCGGGAGACTCAAAAGATGTCCCAACATGCCAGGTGTTCTTTGTGTCTTACAATATGGCTTTGCATCATTTTTGTTTAATTTGTTTATTTAAGGGATTTATATCCCCTCTTTCTCCCAAGATGGGACTCAAGATGGCTTACAATAACCTAAAAAGATAGAGCTAAAACATTAGTTCCAAAAGTTAAAAAACTACCGTAATACTAATACTAAAACATAAGTTTAAAATAATCATGTCGTATGAGTACTTTCGAGTACTTACTCAAAGGTACTCTTCTTTTGTGCCATACATCATTGAACATAGTCTTACTTCTAAAGTGAGGTAGGCATTTGGTACCCTAAAGGCACCAGATCCCATGTAATCTTGGAAGCTAAGGAGGGTCAACTCTGGTTAGTACTTGGATGGGAGACAGCCAATGAATACTAGGTGCTCTATTTCAAGGGAAGAAACTAGCAAAACCACCTTTGAGTCTTGCCTAAGAAAACCCTATGAAATCAATGGCATCGCTGCAAGTTGACACGTGGCTTGAAGGCACATACCCAAACAGAGGCAATTGCAGCCATCCAAATATTTCTGGCCTACTACTCCCATTAGCCTTAGCCAGGAGAACTAATGTGTTTATGAAAGCTGCCATCCAAAAACATCTAGAGAGCCACAAAATCTCTGTCTTTCTACTAAAACAGAACGGGGTGCACACAGAAGTTGAGGAACCATTTTCAGATCCCCTCAACCATACGCAGGCCACAGCGGCACCATTTTAAAGAACCATAAGTAATATTGCAATCATTTTAATTCAGTTTGGGGAGATATTTTTCCCTGTCTTGGAGTACCTCCCAAAACAGCATTTATAGGTATATATGCATGGTGGTTGTTCCGTGCCTCCAAGTGATTTTTTACTTATGGCAACCCTAAGGCGAACCTATGATAGGGTTTTCTTGGCAAGTTTCTTCAGAGGGGGTTTGCTAGTGCGCTTCTCTGAGGCTGAGAGAGTGTGACTCACCCAAGGCCAGCCAGCAGGTTTTATGCTTGAGCTGGAAATCAAACCCTGATCTCTGAAGTTGAGAGTCCAACACCCAAAGCACTACACCATGCTGTCTCTATATATGCATTATTTGGAGATATTTGGGGATGAAAATAGCTGAATTGAATTGATTTAAGGTGGCCCAGGAGGTGTGTGATAGATACACTACTCTGCCAGAAAGAAACTCTATCTCAAACTAAGCCTTGAACAATATATATGGAGGAAACAAGAATGAGTCCAGCTACCTGGCAATCTGGTAGTGTCACTCCCCCCCCCCTTTTTTTTTTTTCCCCTGGCTGCCCTCTGTTATTAAATTAGGAAATCTAGGCTCCCTGATGGGGGAGATCCTGCCCCTGAATATACCCTTTGTGTTTTTTTCCATTTTGTTATTGCACCCTTATTGCTTGCATCTGTTCTTCACCATGCCAGCAAATTTGGTAAACTCTTTTCACTCCCACATTCTGCTGGTGCTAATTCAGTTCTGTAAGCCTCTTCCCTGAATTAGCCTTGGTCCTTCTCCCTTGCACAGTTCACAAAAACACTGGTAGAGAAAATGTCATATATGTTGGCTTAGAAAAACAATAGCACCTAGGAGGAGACATGAGAAACATATGTTGGAGTGGGCAAAGGAAAGTTTTCTCCTCCTCCTGTAGCACTCAAATAATCCAGTGAAATAGATTCTGCCTTCAAAGAGGAAACTTGTGTCATCTGTTGCAATTAAAGGACTTCATACAGAATACATATTTGAAATTCTCTGCTACGTTACTTGGTTATGACAAACTTTGAAAAATCATGCTTTTGGACTAGAGCTCCCAGAATCCTCCCACCAGCATTGCTACTTGTGAGCAAAATCTTGAAATTGGAATGCCAAAAAGTAACTGTTCCCCTCTCTTGGAAATGACCACTGGCTTGTATAGTTTTAAAGGAGAACCTGTTGGATAGATTCTTGGACTGATTCACCAGTGCTGCTTTCAGGTTGCTCTTACTCTTTTATTGGAAAGACAAAATATTTTCCTGGTCTTCCACTTCAGTCTAGACTTGGGCCTTGTCTTCATGAGCCAAAAGTCCCGTTCCCTCCTCCCCTCCATTCTGACATCATCCTGTTCGGACAACGCACAACCAAAACCCTGTTTCTGGTGCAGCTGATCCAAATGAAGTCCCCCACCAGAACTAGGGCAAAACAAGCTTTAAATGCATTTTAAAAACTTACCTGTTACTCCGGATCTTCCTGGGAGATCTGGAACTCTCCATTTCCGTGGCACAACAGCTGTCAGCATAGGTGTCCTCACTTGGCTGCCTGGCATGTCCACTGCCAACACAGGTTGTTCATTTTGAGGTCAGAGTGAGGTGCCCAGCATGTGAATGTCACTAGGTGCTTCGTTCAGACCTCAGAAGTGAGTGACCCGCAGCATCAGCAGATGCATCGGATAGCCCAGCAGGACACCCTTGCAAATGACCACCACCCCACGGAAACGGGCCAAGTTATAGGGGGGAAACAGGACAGCTGTGGTGCCAGGATACTCCAGGCTGCCCCTCAAGGATCCTGGTCAATGCAGACAAGGCCATGTGTTAAGAACCATCTCCAAGGAACTGAACAAGCAGAAAAAGGATTTCTTTGTTTTCTTTTAGAGTGGGACCTTGGTGTCTGCTGAAGTTTGGTTCCAGGACCCTCCGAGGATACCAAAATCTGTGAATGCTCAAGTCCCTTTATATACAGCAAAATCAAGGTTTGCTTTTTGAATTTTAAAAAATATATACAGTGGACCTTCAGCATTTGCTGCAGTTTGGTTCCAGGACCCCCCTGTGGATTTCAAAATCCATGGATGTTCAAGTCCCATTGAATACAGTGGGTAGTAAAAAGGTGTCACTTATATACAATGGCAAAATCAAGGTTTCTTTATTTTTTCTTAATATTTTCAAGCCATGGATGCTTGAATCTAAGAAGAGCTATGCCGGATCAGGGCAAAGGCCCATCTCATCCAGCATTGTTCCCACAGTGGCTAACCATTTACCTGTTGGAAGACACATAAGCAAGACTCAGGGGCATACTGTACAGGAGAGAGCACATATCTATCATGATTCATAGCCTTGATAGTGCCAATCTCCATGGATGTATCAAGTCCCATTTTAAAGATAAGCTGTTGATCATTGTTATAATAGGAGGTGATAAATTCTACAGTTTACCCAAGGCACATGTGGGCAAGCGGACAATTAAAAATTATTTGTAGGTGAGTAACTTCCGGAAAAGAGCCAGCATGGTGTAGTGGTTTGAGCGTTGGTCTATGAATCTAGAGACCAGGGTTCAAATCTCTGCTCAGCCAGGGTAACCCACTAGGTGACTTTGTGCAAGTCACATTCTCTCAGCCTTGGAGGAAGATAAAAGTAAACCTCTGAACAAATCTTGCAAGAAAACCCTGTGATAGGTTTACTTAGGGTCATCATAAGTTAGTAATGTCTTGAAGGCACAGAACAACAACAACACCAAACTTCAGAGAATTTTATTTACAAGGCTACTATAATCTTCCAGCAGCAGTGATGATCTGGGAGTGGGGGCTGTCACAGATCAACTTATTGCTATACAGGGAGTGTAGGGGAGACCTGTTTCAATAACCTCATTGAGCTTGTTTCTTATGGGATCCCTTACATAAGCATTGCTGCTGTAACCATCAAAACAATTGACCCTCTTATTGCTGCTTCATCCTTTTCTTCTTTCTTTTTAAACAGGGGTTCTCCTATCCCTAGATGTTCCAGCCTCATGGAGGAGGTGGACAAGATCCTCATACATTCCCTCCGCCTCTCTGGGACGTAAGGCTATTTTTGTTGCTGTGTTGTCTTAATGTTTCCTTACTCATGGGTTTTAGATTGGAAGGGAGACGTAAGATGGTACTATGTAGCTAAAAAGAGATTGGAGTTTTGCTGAATGGAAAGGAGGGTTAAGAAAGAGTCTGAAACCGTGCTGTACTGGTGGACTTCACATTTACTTATTTATCTGTAGCACTTATACTCCACTCTTTAGTCAAAAAGGCTCCCAGAAGGGGCTTATAAGATAAATAGTACAATAGCCACTCCTGAGGCTTATAACCTAAATTTAAGACACAGCACACAAGAAAAAAAGGGATGTGCCGAGGAGGGGAGAATAAGTCTGCTGCTTATAATGATCAAGTGGATAGAAATGGATTGAGGCAGCCTGCTGGAATAGCTGCTGTTAGTTGACAGCTAAGGGAAGAAGAGGTATATTCCTATGCCATTGCTTGCTCTTTTCTCACAGCTGTACTGTGAATCCCTTCACACTACACAATTATAGCCGTATGGCTCCACTTCCAATGCCATGGCTGTACCCTGTGGAATCCTGGGATGTGTAGACTAGTCAGAAGCCCTAGAAGAGCTCTCTGGCTGAGAATTCCAAATGCCCTCCCTAAATTACAAATCCCAGGTAGTTAAAGTGGGATCACAGTGTTGTTATAGTGTAGTGTGAAAGGGAGCTATGTCTAGCTGATCAAGTGTTTCCCAAGCTGCTGTGTGAGCAAACAGCTGATCATTCTATGTGCCCCACTCTGAGTTGCAAGAACACTTGGATTGTATCTGCCTTTGCCCAGTCACCCACTGGTTGCTCAGCAAAATTAAGAATTACATGAAAAAGAGCTCCTATGCAGTTGTGGTTGATGGCAGCCACCAAATCTAGTTTCAGACAAGATAGAGATGTGCCTGAGGACAATTATAGTGCTAGTTTGTAGAGAGCTCATGTAGCACCAAGAAAGAAGTTGGCAGCATGGGCTTTTGTAAACATAAGTCTACTTCCTCAGATGTATTTGGAGGGATTATACTTGGACCAAATGCATTGGAGGAAGTAGACTGAAGTCTACAAAAGCTCATGTTGCCAACTTCTTTCAGTGAGTCTGAAAGGTGCTGCAAGATCTCTACATACTGATTCTACAGACTAACATGGCTATATCTTTGAATTATAGTGCTATTTCTTCATGTCAATTGCCATGGTTTTATCGTGGAGTTTGTAATCTGGTGAGCCACTAGAGCTCTCTGGCTGAAAATTCTAAATGTCCGTTCCCAAACTGCAGATCCCAGGATTTCATAGGACAGAACCATGGCAGTTAAAGTGGAATGACAGTGCTATAATTCTGCAGTGTGCATGAGCCCCAGAGAAGGGAGAGATGGAAAGCTGCCAGGAAGTTCTCTCCCCAGCATCAGTAGTGGAGCCCAGGCATGACGGAGGTGACTTTGGCTACTGTTCTTCTCCTTCTGTAGTGGAGCCCTGGAGCCTTTTCTTATGGCTTGTCACAAGCAGAGCTTGTTAAAGATGGCCGTGTTGGCTAGGGGATTTTGAGGCATTGTCCAAAAAATACTTCATGTTTTCAAGCTCTGGTCAAAGGACATAAACCTGATGAAGATCTGTAGAAATCCATGACATTCTTCCTGTCCTGAGATATGATAATGCAAAGTCACAAAGGGGATAGACTGAAATACTTCCCAGAGGAGCTAATTTATCCACAGCCTTTATGTCAGGTTTTTCTCTGAGCCCAGGCAAGAACTTAATTGGAGTTATGTATCTGTGCCTTTTGCCATGTCACATTGTCCCCCCCCCCCCCCCCCCGGTTTTTGCACAGAGATCTCTGCTTTCCTGCAGATAGCACTCCTTTCACTTCCGCCAGGCCTTTTGCTGCTTCCAAAGGTTGTGTAGGAGAAAGCCACTGGTAGTTGCTTAGTAACAAGGGTTTTATTAATCTTTGGACTGTGACTTCCTTTGAACATGAGTAATAACTAGCATTTATGCAACCCCTAAGCACAAACCTGCCAAACTTGTGCCCCACCGAGCTAAATGCAGCCACTCCCACCCACCCACCTTGTGGTCCTATGCATTGGATCCCCAAGTGCAAGGCAACAACCTTCTTGCTCTTGCAATCCTGAGTAGGCAGCAAAAACTGGAGGTTTATTTAGCTCTATCTGTACATGACCGACAGGCCCAGGGTGTCTTGGTGAGTCTAGGACCCCCTGTAAAAGTGGAAAACCTGCAAATAAACCACTATTTTTTTATCTGAGAGAACATCTGTCTAGACATTTGTAGGTCTTCCACTGCGATTCTGTGGTCAACCTCCAACCAGAAGTTGACCATAGAATCATACTGGAGGACCCACAAATGCCTAGAAAAGTTTTTTTCTCTAGGAATTTCTAGGTCCTCCATCACGTCTCAATGGTCAACTTCTGGCAGAGTTGTGCTGGGGGACCTAGAGATTCCTAGAGAGACCATATTACTCAAATGTGTGAATAATCAAAGCTGCAAAGTCAAAGCCATATATGTGGAGGGCTGACTGTGTAGCAGATCCTTGTTATCCGCTGGGGTTTGTTTCCAGGACTCCCATGAATACCAAAATCTGTAGATGCTCAAGTCCCATTAAATACAATGGGATAGTAAAATGGTGTCCCTTATATAAAAGGGCACATCAAGGTTTGCTTTTGGGAATTTATATATTTTGGAATCTTTTCAAACCGTAGGTGCTTGAATCTGTGGATAAAACATCTGTGGATACAGAGAGCTGTATATGCTTTTGGCCTCAAAACTGCTAACATGATTGTGCAATTAAATGCAGAAATAGGCCATGAAAGCATTTAAAATACCTAAAATCAAAGTAAGCCTCAAAAATGTCTCCATTAATAACAGCCACATTTTATTCTAAAATTTCTTCTAGAGAGCATTTTCTATATAGAAAGGATGGGAAATGTCTGACCATTGGGCTGATACTGGATTGAAGTTCCCACATCCACTACTGAGGGATGATGGGAAATTTCAGTCTAGCAGAATCAGGAGGGTCACACATTCTCCAACCCAGAAAAAATATCAGGGCAGTATTCTTTATGACAATGGTATACAGTAGGGAGGCCAGTAACCCTGTGTTGCATTTGGAAGTTCTGGAGCTAAAGTCGAGATAACAGCAGTTGGCCTTGTAGCTGAGGTGAGATTTGAACCATAGGCATCTTTACCCAAACATGTAAACTCAAACCTTATACACATTTACTTACAAGTAAATCAGTGTGGCTTATTCCCATAGAAGTTGCATCACATTGCATCCTATAAACCATTGGCATTCAGTTCTTCCCACAAGTTGGCAGCTTAGATAGATAGTCTAATAACAAGGCATTTGTCCTGCCTTGGACAAACTGTGCAAAAGGATGTGGCAGCAGGCAATCCATTCTCATATGCAGAATTCAGAAGACATGTTGTGTGTCATTTTAGGCAGCCATGTCATGTTGTCTGCCATGGCCTGGTTGTCTTTCACTAAATCAGGGATGAGCAACTGTGGCCAATTTCTCCCTGGATCTCCTTGTGGAACACTCCACACAAGTAAACTCAAATACCTGTTTTCCTCTACATCCCCTCTCAAAATGGCAGCAGGAAGGGATGTCACATCACTTTGTGTTGCAATCCCGAGATGGACTGCAGAGGAAAATAGAGGTATTTCTGAGTAGTATAGAATTGTGGGGGTGGAAGGAGTATTTTTTGTTTGTTTTGACTTGGAAGGTTTCTGCATGATTTGAAGGCCAAAAAAAAAAAAATAATAATACTTGAAACTATGCCATTTAAAAAAAGGGTGAGGTAGACTGATGGAGACTTCAAGGTCCACAAACGTGGGGTTCCTGGGGCTGCACGTGGTCCGCAGTTTGCACTTTGTTCATCTCTATACTATGTATGGAATAGAAAATGCAGGCCAAAGCTGGGAGATCTATGGCCCTCAAGATCTTGTTGGGCTCCAGTGCCCACCAGTTCAACAGTGGTGAAGGATGATTGGAGCAGTTGTTGTCAGATCTGAACCTAGAGGTGTGCCACCTATGTTATAGTGAATGAAAAGTGTGGCAGTGTTGGACAAAGCAGCAATAATGCTTTGGGGAGGGCCTGTTATGCCTAGATTTCTGCCTTTTCTTCCCAGGGATATCCCAGATGAAGTCCAGAGCATCCGTGAATTCACCACCGAGTTGATTGTTGAATCTGTGGTGCGATGCCTCCGTGTCATCAGTCCTTCCGTAGGGACAGGCCTCAGCCACACCTTGCCTCCAGGCATGTCTGCTCGCTTCCGGATTGGCATGAGCTTGGCACAAGCCTGCCAAGTGAGTACAACTAAGTTCCAGGCCATGATACACTGAGTAAGGTTGGCTCTTGTCTCTGAAAGTTCATGCTTCAGGATGATAATTTGGAGGTCAGCAATACAATGCCTGTGGGCTCTTGGACAACCCCCTTGGTGCCTTAGAGCCCCTGCTCCTTCCATACTAAAACCTCTTCTAAAATCTCCTACCTGCAGCCAGCCCAGTCCATTCC